CTTGCATGTAATTCTTATTTTTATTTGTACTGGTACAAATAGTAGTAGCTTTGTAAATTTCTATATTTGTCAATTACCTTAGTAATTGCACTATAGCAATCTATGTTATAACTATCTCTGAATTACTAATAAAGATACGAGCAAGGCCTCACCTTAAAACCAAAAAAAAATAAAAATAAAATCAAAATTCTGCTTTAGCTATTACAAGATTGGAAGCTCAAATTGAAGATTTAAAATGAAAACTTGATGAGCAAGATGATGAACATGCAAAGAAAAAGTAAATATTTTAGTTTTGATGATTGTTGTTTTTTTTTTATTATTTAATAATAATATTTAGAAAAAATACAGATAAACCAAATCCAACACCAATTCCTCCACCCGAAAATGATGATAATAGACAACCTCCAACAACAATTAATACTCCAACTACAACTATTAATCTACCATCCACAACAACAATTAATACTCCAACTACAACTATTAATCTACTACCCACAATAACAATTAATATACTTCCATCAAGACCAACTAATTTTCCAAAAATTATAACAACTGAAACATCTACAACAACTACAAATAAACCAACAACTTCAGTAACAACAAAACCTTCTTCTATGAAACCAACACCTATAACAACAACTTTATCAACTCCAAAGATTAATTTTATCAGTTGTCCAATTTGTAAAAACGAATTCAAAAAAAATGAAATTAACCAACATTTGAAAGAACATATTAAAAATCCTTTATCAAAAGATACTGTTCGTGATAAATTAGGAATAAAAAAACAATCAATTGTGTTTGATAAAATGAAAAAATTAGTTAGTAAACTTACAGATATTCAAGTTAAAGAACTTATTGATAAAATTCAAAAACTTATTGAAAAATATGAAGAAAAATTTATTGAATATATTCTTGATGAAATGAAGGAACAAATCTTATATAACTTTGATAAAATAATGATTGGTGTTATAGGTTCTATTATTAGATTTTCAAATTTATCTGTATTTTTTATAAATTTTATTTTTAATTTTTTATATAAATATTGTTTTTATTCTTTACTTTTTTTTAATAAATAAAAATAACAACAAATTCATTATCAAAAAGATTAATAAATCTAAATAAAGAAAATAATGACCTTAAAACTGTTAATAATAATTTATCAAATATTAACAGAGAACTACAAGATGAAATTGAAGAACTAAAAAGACAACTTTTAGGTTATCAAAACTCTAATTATATATTTTTAAAAATAGAAAATAAAGATTTAAAACTTGAAATGAACAGCTTTTGAATAAAATAAAAGAACTAAAAGAAAATAATTCAACAATATCTATTGTTATTCCTAAAGATGATAAAAAGCTTTCAACAGAAATTAAAAAACTTTCAACATTAGCTGATTATTTTTTAGTATTTAAAAATGAACTTGAAAAGTTTTTATCAACAAAAAAAACTGATAAATTATATATTTAGAAAATAGTTCTATGGTGTAAACTTATTCTTGAAAGTTTTCATATATACTATTTTTAGAATACTTGTTGTCTTATACAAGAAAATAATATTGTTTGTTCACTTTCAAATGAAAGATTCATTCTTTATTTTTTTGAAATACTTTTTTTTATTTTAACTTTAAATACAATAATACATGTATTTAAAAATTTAACATTAACTATTTTATTAGGAATTTTGGTTGGAATAACTGGAATTAGTTACTTATTTTCACTAGCCTTTATCTATTTTTATAAATTTTTAAAATTCTTAGTAAAAACTTTTAGGTATTTTTGTAGAAATTGTTGTTGCAATTTTTATTGTGAAGTGTTTTGGTGGTTTATTTTCTTCTTTTTCTGCTCGTATATATTTATATTTGTTATTTTACCAAAATTTATTGCTTGGTTAATAGTTTCTGAAAGAATATAATTTATAATAAAATAGTTAATATTAGCAATAGCGTTGTAGCATGGGAGCCCTAGTCCCTTCGCACGCTGCCAATCGCAATCCTCTCAAACCTTTTGGACTAAGATCAAGTGGAAAAATCGCTAGCATGATTTTTTTATTTTATTAAGTTTATTAAATAATATATTTATTAAATAAAATAACTAATCATCAAATTCTTCAAAATCTTCTTCAGTAAGTTCTGAAACATGCGTTTCATATAACAAAAGTCCAAATATTCAGCCAATTGTTTCTTGTTACTTGAATTTTTAATATTGTTAATGATATCAGTAATAAAATTTAAATGTTTAAAAAATGAAGTTAAATAATTGTTTTCATTTGTATAAACTAGAATATATGTGTTTATATTTTCAATTATAACTCTTTTTTCTCTTCTGGTTAATAAATTATTTTCAGTTAATAAACATTCAGTTTGATTCATATAATCAGCAAAAGAACCGCTAACAACACCATGAATTGAAGAAATTAAAGTTTTCATTTCTTGATTCATTATTTTTTTATATTTAAAAAAATCTAATTGGTTTAAAACTAACTAAAGTAATAGAATACATGTTCTTTTATAAATAATGTTTTATTAACAGTTTCTGTAAGAATAATAAAATCATTATCGATAAATTCAATATTAAATGTATATTTGTAGTTTGAATTAGTATCGAGTTCTTTACATTCAGTTATTCTTTTAACTAAATTTAATAATTGATTAAATTCTTCCAATTTAAACATTTTTGTTTGAAGATATTTTATAATTTGATTTATTTGTTGAAATTGTTTTAAATAATTATTTATTTCAATATATTGTTTTATAGAAACAACATTAGAATCAAAAATAATATAATTTTCTATTTTAATAGATAAATTAATAAATTGGTTATATTTATAGTTAATTAACTAAAGATAAAAAGTTGCAAATGCTGCTGGTTCATGTTCTCTTTCTTCGTCAAAATAAGATTCATTTTTAAAAAACTCTTTACAATAGTAACATAATTGAATATCAAAATAATTAACAAAATTTTCCCAAATATAATGACTACCTCTTAAACTTCTTAATTGAGCATCATAGTTAGAATCTCTGAATGAATTAAAATCATAATTGGTACAATATGTTTTGGCACCACATTTTCTACAAATTTTTTTATATTTTTTCTATCCTTTTGAGTAATAAAATTAAGATATTTACTACTAATTCTTTGTATATCAACAAAAAATTGTTTGTTTGTAAATGATGATAGTATTATTTTCCTTCAAATTTAAAATCAACCCAAGTATTTTTTTTTGTATAATGTAGTTTCTATAGTACTGTTTTTGGAAGGGTATGTGTATATAGATTATATTGCTGAATTAATTCATATTTTGTTTTGACTTTTTTCTGATAATATCATGGTATATAATATAAAAAGTTTTCGATACAAATTTTAATCGAATAAAGTTTCTTTCTAAAAAAGTTATCTTTTCAGGAGTTAAAAAAAAAATATTTCATGAAGTGTTTCAAGCGATAAATGAAAAATATTTGTTTTTTCCATTTTATAATTAACTAATTAATAAACTAATCAGTATTTATATACTGATTAGTTAGTTTTCAGAAAAAAATCTGTGATTTTACTATCTACTTTTGCTTTTTTTCTTGGTTCTTGATTTTTTTCTTTCTTTTGTTTAAAGTAATTCTTACTACTTCCTTTTTCTACAATAGAACTAATATTTAAATTATTATTTATCTTAGTTTGATCTAATTTATCAGTAATTTCTTTATACAAAGAAATTATTATTTTTTTAGCATCTCTTTTTTTTTACATAAAAAAAAACTTTCACATAAATCCTTTGAACTTTTTAGATAATAAAGTAAATCTATCTTATGTTTGTTAGGATCGAATTCATTAACTAAACAATTTTTATACCCTATATTTTTATAATCAAGATCTAAAATATAATAAAAAAATCTTCTTGGTACCATTGTTTTAATATTATCAATTCTTTTTTGAACAAAATCAAGTACTATTATATTTCCTTTTTTTGATTTTGTTTTTTGTTTCATTTTACTTAGATTAATTTCTTTTTTGTTGTCTTTTTTAATAGTAAAATCTCGTGCTTCAATATCAGTAGATGATTTATAATTCATGTTTAATGTAAATAAGTTAATATCATGTTTCATTTGAATATATTTTGTTATAACATCTAAAATAACCTGTTTAGGATCTTGAGTGTTATCAACCAATTGTTTTTTTTCATTAAATCCTAATATTCTCTAAATCATTTCCTTTCCAATTTGTTTATTAAATTCTGATGTATTTCATTTTTTTACTTTTAAACCTTTTAAAAATAATTTAGGGTTATTAAGTTCAGGCTCATGTTCATGTTCACAACTACAATAATGTTTTTTTTTAAAAAAAACACAAGGATATAAAGTTTTTTCATATGATATTCTAATAAAAATTTTTCCTTGTGATATTAAATATTCATTAACTTGTTCTTCGAGTTTTTTGAAAATTTTTATTGTTCATTTAATTTTTTCTTTATTAGATATTAAATTTTTTAAATAATCTATTGAAATTATATAAAATATTGAATCTATATCACCATAAATTATTATATACCCTAAACTTTTCAAATAATCTATAATCTCTTTGAGTATAAACTGACAGAAAGTAGTTACTGATGAAGCTACTGGTTTCTTAAATAATGGAGAAAATCTAGATCCACTATAACCATATATAGTATTTGCCACAGTTTTTAATGCATTAAACAATGATGTCCAATATGCTAATAATATTGGATCTTTTTTAAATTCTTTTATTTTTTTCTTTGCAACTGCTTGCTCTTCTAATAATTTTTTATACATTAATGGCATTATTTCCATTTTTTCTTTGTTATTATAATGTGGTTTAAATTTTCCATAGATTATTCCATTATCTTGAACAATGTTTAATGTAGTGTCTTCAGATTCATCTGTTATTAATGTAGATAAACATATATTCATTTGAATTATAGCATTTGGATAAAATGAATTAACATCTAAATCTGCTACAGGTTCTGTGATATTTCTATTATTAATCTCTAATACCAATGCTCCCTTATATTTATTTCTAACTTTGATTATTCCTTTTTGAGTTGTTGATAATAACTTATCAGCTCTTGCAGCATATCTCCTGAATGTATTTAAAACTAACGTTCCAACTCCATTTAAAAATACATTTGTAATAGGAACATATGATAAAGCCGCTAATTGAATATAATCTCCAATTATATTTCGTTTGATTAAAAGTTCTTGTAAATGTAAAGTATCAATAGAACAATAGTAAGCAATTTCAACTCCATATTCATCTAATTTTTCAAATAAAATATTTAGTAATAAATCCAAACATTTTTAATATTCAATATTACATTTCAATAATAACTTTTTTGCTGATTCTTTTAAAAATTCTACATTGAAAAAATGTTTGATTGCTGTAACATAAACATATATAGAATGTAAATTATTACAATTCTCTAGAAGATATAGTAGATCAGCCTTTTCTTCTAACTTACAAATTTGTAAAATATGATCTAATGTATATTTAAGTTCTTGTTGAAATGTTTTTTTAGTCTATACTAATAAATCTACAAATATAGTATCCTGTTTATAAAAATATTCACATTTCGTATTTTCCATTAGATTAACTTTTATCTCTCTATTTATAATATTGAAGCTTGCAAATTCATACTTTGAATTCTCTTTATCTAAATCTTTATCAACAACATGAATATCTTTTTCATATATATTTGAAATTAATTTGGATTTTTTTCTCAATAACTTTTCAACAAATTCATCTCCAATTCCTAGTAATTCTACTTTTTAATATATTTGGCCAATCAAAACCCCCTGTATTATATCCAATTTCAATATCTCTATTAAATCTATAATATACTTCAGCAAATTTTAATAATAGTTTTTTTTCAGTTTCTACTTTAATAAAAATAAAATCTTCAGAATCATATAAAATTTTTTCTGAATATTTTGAAAAAAAAAGTGATTTGTTTATCGATAATATTGTAATATTGTATCTTTTAAGTAGTTTGGGATTATTATAAAAAAAAATATCAAATTGAATTATATATATGTAATCTAATTTTTCATTACCCTCTGAAAAATATCCAGGTCCACGTTGACTACCCCATTCTGTATCCCATGCTACTATAATTAATTTAGGTATCTCTTTTGATAAATTAACTTTTTCAATATCACTTATGGTTACCAAAATGTTATTATAAATTCTTCTATCTTTTAATCAATACCAACCAACAAGCTCAAAATCATTTTCTCGTACAACTTTTCGATAATAACATGATATATCATCTGAATATGTATCATTTCGTTTCCAAAAATTTTCAATTTCGAAATGTTTTAAAAAACTCTTTCCGTAAATCCCTTACACAAACTTAAATAAAAATTCGTGCATCATAAAATCGCCCATATCTCAAT